ATATTATGAAGTTTTTTAAATTGCCCATTTTAGACATGCTTCACTTTGACTTCTAACCACTCCTTTCAGAGTTGACCATGACTATGCCCATATAATTAAAAGTAACATGGAAACAGGAACACAGTCCAATATAGTGGACATCATTGATATTTCTGAACACAGTAGTGTTTAAAAATGAGTTTGTCTTTCATGTATCACTTGTAAGGTTTCTGGGAGAAAAAAAAAAAGAGTTTCTGAGAGACACTTCCTTTAGAAATTCTGAGTGACCGTTTCATTATGAGGCTTTACGCATGAACAACTCTTTCTAAAAACAAAAAGATAAATATAAAAGCAGGTTCTTTGACTGTCTAGTCTTAACATTTAATAACAGTGATTCATGAAACACAAATTCCAAAACTGTGTTATTTCAATTTTAGTTTTCAGTATTGCAAAAATGAAACATGGTGATATTTCCTAACTATTGTTTTGTTCTTGGCCATACCTGAGACAAAAAGAAAAAAAGCCTCATAATTTACTCACACCCTTAAATATTATTTGTAATAATATATAAGATAATCAGTGAGCAGAGAATTTTAATTTTTATTGCCATATGCTTAACAACAAAGTAGTACCTGGAAGGCCTTCTAGATATTTATTGACATAATGAATAATTACTTCATTCATAGTGGTATTTGGTGCCCACAATTCTACAGCGAGGGATGACTGGCAGGTTCCTGCCACTACAAGCCTTAAGACAGGAGTTCAGGTCTTGGTAGAAGTAGAAGCTGGGGAAAACAAGTATGACTGGCAACTCTCAAGGGAAAATATATGATTGTAATTAAAGTAGATTCAGAAGTAAGAACTCGTGAAGAATTTAAAATTAAGATTGAAGCATTTAAGAAAAGAAAAGGAAAAAAAACCCTCTAGCAAACTCTAGAAAGGTGTTTTTCAATCTTAGCACTACTGACATTGACAACTGTAAACTCCTTGGAGGGTCAGTTCTATGCATTGTGAATGGTTAGTAGTAGTCCTGGCCACTGACAGCAAGAACTAAGAATCACATGCCAAGTTGTAAAAACCTAAAATGCTTCCATACACATGTAAATACCCCAGGGGAGGCAAAATCACTCACAGTTAGAACCACTAATCTAGGGTAATTTGAGCTCATCACAGTCATTCAGAAGGTGCAGGCAAATGAGAAAGTTCTGAAAACATGAAGTTGAGAAGAACTGACAAAATACATGACTCATTCCTCTTTGATCATGGGAAAGTTTAGAGTCAGAAAATGTAAACTAAAATAATGAAATGTCAAATGACCAGCAAGAGGTTTGTGCAAACAAAAGCAGCTGTTTCCAAACTGTTACAAATGCATTAGGAGCAGTATTTCTATTGACTATTCAAGAGGGAGAATGATTGTTCATCTTAGGTTTATAGAGTGTATAAGCAGCAGCAATGCATTAAAGATTTGATGTACCTCATGGTTGGAAGGGAATCTCAGGTAAATTATCACTGGGAATAACAGCTTCAACTATATTCTTAATCTATTAAAATGGAAAGCAGGCATTATAGATCCAGTCTGATAAGGTAACAATGTTTCAGGGCAAAGGGATATGATTTTAAGAAATAGTTGAACATGGCTTCTGTTTTTCAAGAATGCTCAAAAATTGGGACCTAATTCTGTATTTAGAAAAGGATATTAATAACATCTGTTAGTTCAGAATTGCTAGGAGGCCCCTTAATCTTTTATGACTCTGGATACTGTATGATTTTATTATATTAAGAGGATTGAGGGTTATTCTGATTATATAAATGCACAAATATACATGACCATATATATATGCTCACAGTTTTATTTCCTGAAGTGAATTATTTTACTATACTGATTCAGAGACAAATCCACTACTATATTTTTATATTATTAATTTTTGTAGGTTTGGATTAGTCTCTATATCTGATTTTTACGAAAATCTATTTTAACATGCTTTTCATCACTTCAGACTATTATATAAGATATAAAGTTTGTACAGTAAATAATATTAGTAATTTACTTAGCGTTGTCTGTTATTACCAAAATTAAATTCAAGAATACAAGTTTTAGTTTCATTATTTATTTTAGATTTGAAAATAGGAAGCTGAGAAATTGGAAATTATGATAACACAGGACAACTCTTACAGGCAATAAGACTCTGTGACTAGAAACTACATATAAAAAAAATCAAATTGATAAAAAGTTCAAAATTATAATGTTTCTCAAATCAAATTAGGATATTTGAAAATAGTTAGAGGTTTGCAATACAAAGGCTATACAGTTTAAAGTATATTTCTTGAAGTTCAACTCTTGAAGACTATGCTTTCAAAGTTGAAGAAATTGGACCCAGTACATGAAAACTTCCCCCAAATGCTATCAATTTTGGTATATAGAAAATACCTTAAAGGGCAACATTCTTACTAACTCTTTGAAGAAAAAAGGTTTTATGATAGATATATCTTTTTGCTTGGAAATCCATTTGATTGAATGATTTATTAGAATAGCCTTCTTAGTCATTGAAAACTTGGCAAAGAAATGTTTTAAGTTCATTATGGTTGATTTTATTTCTTTAAAAATATATATGCATATTATAGATG